TGTTTCTACGCGGCTTTTCATAAATGCAACTAGGTCTGTCCAAATGTGACATTTAGGACGACTAAAACTCTTGTATGTGATACAAAACATCAGCTTGAACGCACTGGAGATTTAAAAATAGGGTAAACACAAATTTGTGTAATTGCATAATATGCTACAAATAGTAAGTACTATGGGTAAAAGAACAAGTAAACAGAGTAAGTTGGGAATCAGTGATAAGGAGGCCGTGGGCAGCAAGAAACAGACTGCTTAGCAATGGCATCGAGTTGGTGTTGAAGTTTCTGTATGGATGACCAGTTTTCTTTTGTTTTTAATTACTTCTATTGAAATGTAATTTAAACACAGTAAAAGTCAGGGGCTCCTGGGGGGCTCAGTTGGTTAAGCATTTGACTCTTGATTTTGGCTCAGGTCAGGATCTCATGGTGTGTGAGATCGAGCCCTGGTGTCAGAGCCTGCTGAAGATTCTCTCTCTCCCCCCTGCCCCTCTCCCCCGCTTGTGCACTCTCTCTCTCTCTAAAACAAAACAAAACAAAAACCCCACACACACATAGTAAAATCCATTCCTTTTAAGTCTTTTCAAGTGTATGTTCGGTGAGTCTTGAAAATTATATTCAGTCACAGAACTACCACAACCATCATGATATAGAACCTTTTCATCCCTCCAAAAAGTTTACTTCTGCCTTCAGAAGCACTGATCTGCTTTCCGTCGCAGTACTTTTTGCAAAAGTCTAGAGAGAGACTCGCGCAGCGTGCGGCTGGGAGCCTGGCTTCCTTTACCTAGCAGTGCTGTTGGGATTCACCGGGTGTATATCCATGGTTCATTCCCTCTTACTGGCCAGTAGCCCATGGTAGGGATGTACTACGATTTGTTTCTTCACTCACCAGCTAACGAAAGTTGGTATTGGTTTTCTTGTTAATAACAAAACTGCTTGTTATGGACCGAATAACCACCCCCGGCCCCGTTCCTATGTTGAAGCCCTGATTTCCAGTACATCAGAATGAGACCGTATTTGGAGATGGACCCTGAAAGACGTTACTGCATTCATTGTGTGCCTTGACCCGATCTGGCTGGCATCTTTATAAGAGGAGGTGATGAGGACACAGAGAGAGACGCTAGGAGCATGTGAGTACAAAGTAACTACCGTGGAAGGAGGAAACAAGAAGATACCCTTCTGAGGCCAAACAGAGGCCGCAGAAGAAATCAACCCTGCTGACACCTTGATCTTGGGCCTCAGCTTCCAGAGCTGTGAGGAAATAAATTTCTGTTGCTTGAGTCACCCAGCCTGTGGCCGGTTGTCATGGCGGTCCTCACCGACTATTACGTGGCTATAAATATTTCGGGTGTAAGTCTTTGTGTGGACGTGCCTTTTCATTTATTTTCGGTAAATAACATAGGCATGGGACTGCTGGATCCTATGGGAAGTGTGTATTTAACTTTCAAAGAAACTACCAGCTGTTATCCAAGGGGGCTATACCGTTTCACATTCTCATTGCAGTTCGTTTCTCCACATCTTAGCACAGTCAGTCTTTTAAATATTGGCCATTCAGAATCGTAAGGAACACTGTAACACATTCACATGTCCTACCCACATTTATGGGGAGGGGATTATTCAGATATTCTAAGAGGTGGGTGAAAATCCCGGGGTCATCTTATATTTCGGCCTCCTTTGATGAATGTGTGGAGGCATCTCCCGGGGCTTAATCTGCATTTCCCTCGTGGCTAATGATGTCTACCTTTTCAGGTAGTTATAGGTCATCTGCACATCTTCGGTGAAATGTCTGTTGAGATCCTTCCCTTTTTTAAAAAAAATTGAATTGTTTGCCTCCTGATTGAGTTGTGAGAATGCTTTATACTGGATAAAAGTCTTGTATGTCAGATGTTTGTTCTGCAAATACTGTCTCCCAGTCTGTGGTTTGACTTTTCATTTTCTTAGTGGTATCTTTTGAAAACAGCTCTCTCTCTCTGCCCCTCCCCCACATTTTCTCTCTGTCTCTTAAAAATAAATACGTAAACTTAAAAAAAAAAAAGGAGAGAAATGTACTAGACCATATATTCTTAGTTTCTCATGAGAGGGAACAGAATAACTACATGTAATATGAATTATGTGTTGGCAGATTTCTCATAGAAATCACTAGGTAGGATCTTCTGAAGAAAAATGTATTTTTTCAAGGCTATAGTTACAAAGTATTTTTAAATAAGAAATACTCTTTTATAGATAAACTTACCAGAAATCTTTTCTAAGGATACATCACCAAGAAATGTCTGTCCAGATGGCTTCCTGTTTTCTCCAACCATGTTCAACCAGGAAGCTAAACACCATTACAGGTGTTCATTAGCAATGCATGATAGCATTCCCCCCCCCCCAATAAATGTCTACGTTGCTCTTCTCAAAATTGGGGAGGGGCGTATTTATTTGGTCCACTCTAATATGAGGCACTCAGTTCCTAGACATACACTCGCATACGCGATGCCCCTCATGGTTTGGGTCTAGCACATTTCTGTCTGTACACTTTCCTTGTCTTTCAACAAGGAGAAATGCAATGTTTCCAAAATGAACTTGGCAGTGTCTCTGCTTTAAGACAGTAGAGCCCTCTTCAACCGAGTTATCTATATTTAGGATAAGTTATCATTTATCGGCCACTATAACAGGCGTTAAGTGGCCGGGACAGCGGGGCTGCAGTAGGGATAAGGGTGATGGGCCTCAGGGAGCAGGATACGGAACAAGGATGGTGGTATTTCCTTTTTTAAAGACCTGAAACAGGCAGTAAAAAGCACAAAACTTAAGTTTTTATGAATATTGATTTTTTAATATACCTCTATGATCGCGACCCCTATCAGTTTTAGAACATTTCCAGCACCTTAGAAAAAAATTCGCACTACATTTTAAAAATAGAATCCAAACAAAACCATTGAGAGAAACATTAAGGTATTCTAACGAGCCTCACCACCAATCCTTCGATAGCTCAGTTGGTAGAGCGGAGGACTGTAGGCGTGTGGTTGTGGTCATCCTTAGGTCGCTGGTTCGAATCCGGCTCGAAGGACTTGGCCTTTTTGAAAGGTTTTCGGTGACACTGCACACCTGGTCCCTTAGCGTGTGTAGGAAAACTTGAACACAGTTGGGCGGACTGTCATTTGTACTTACAGATGAACTCGTAGGACTGAAAAATAATAAAAACAATAGTGAACGACCCCCAGATACGTACACAAAAAGCTGCTTATGTAAGTCGGGGTCTCCAGGAAGGCTGACTTTTCATGGAGTTTGGGAAAGGGAAAGGGTCATGGGGAGGGCGGACAACCGGAAGGACGTCTGGACCCAAAGTTTACAATTCATTTTGGAGGCCCGGTGGTCTTTCTGGACTCTCTGTTATGCTGATATTTAAGCGCATAAACATTTAATTAATGGCAACTTGAAACACACACAAGGTCGAGAAAACAGCATATGTTACCATCGCAGCCATCACATGGGTACAACAGAAAGCATCTATTTCCGCAGATGCCCCCCTTCCCACCCCGGCCTCTTGAAGCAGTGCCGAGATGTGCTCTCACTTCATCCGTAGTTGCTCGGTGCTTTGAAGACGGAAGAATGACATACGGGACCGAGTCTGTGCCTCTTACCGCCCTCTCCCGCCTCTAAAAAAGGAGCGGCGGGCAAATGATAAAGTTTGCTTTCGTAACATTAATGAAACCGGCGTGTAGGAACTCGAGTTTATTAGATCTTTCGCCCACTCCAGGAAGAGCGTGGCGCTGCGTTCCTGCAGGAATATACTGGGAGGCTCTCTGGCAGGAGCTGTCACCTAGGAAGGTAGCTTGTGGACGGACACCTGCGCCCCCTGCTGCAGTCCTCTGGGTTCCTCGGCGCCCTCGCCTGTTCCAGCGGGATGGGAATTTCCGTCCGGCTGCAGCGAGGGCGGGTCTAAGTTACGCTTAAACTCGCCCCGGGCCCCTTCCGGAAAGCGGGCTGGAGGGTTTGTCCGCATTCCAGGCCGCGCCCCTTTCCGCCCCACTGCAGGTGCGCGTGGGAGGAACGGCGGCTCCAAGAGCACGGAGACGGCGCCCCCTGCTGGGCGCGTCCGCGCGCGACGGGACAGGGCGGCGCCAGGCACCTGCGGGAGAGAGGTCTCAGTAGGAGTGCCAAGACCGCCCCCGGGGCCGTCCGCACAGACAGGTCTCGCGAGACCAGGGTTAAGCGCGCCGCCCGGGGGGTGGGATCCCCAGACTCCGGTCGTGTGTATATGTGCCAACAGGTGTTTATAATATAAACACGAATCACGTATCAGTACAAATGTACGATAGGCGCCAAGCACGTATTTAACGTTAGGGCAATAACTGTTACACATGAACATTTGGGGGACATCTTTACGAAATCAAATCTAAAATGAATACTTTAAGGTAAACAAAATACTTGTAAACTGCTTGAGGTCACAACTGAAATTTTCAAAATGCAAATCTCACTTCCAAAACCTGTATTTGCGAAGCTAAAGTACATTTCCAAAACTTAGAAACATTCAAAACTCGCAGCTAAATTTTGAAAAATAATTCAAATTTCAAAACTCAAGACAATTTTAAAAACTGAAGTAAACTGTAAAAGGTGGAACAGCCCCCAACCGGAGGCACAGCCGGGTCCCTTGGGTAAAATGCTGTTTTGATCGCTGACACACAGAAACCTCTCCCAACTTCCCAGTTTTCCAGCATTTCAGGAAGAGCCTGCTTCCCGCCTTTCTACACCTCACCAAGGCGTTCTCCAGGGCGCTTTAACACTTGGGGACCCACCCGCTCGGCTTCTGCCTCTGGGCCTGCTCGACCCCGGGTCCCACCCGTCAGCTTCGGATCTCGCGGCCGCTCCGGCCCCCACTTCCGCTCTCTCCACCCAATCTGGTTCTTCCATTTATCTCCGCCCGCGTCGGTCCCGCCCCCTCGCCGCCGGCCGGCGTACTCGGTGCGCAGCCGGCGCGGCGCGGCGCGGCGCTTTACGGCTGTCGTGCTTCTGGTACCCGCCAGCATGGAGGCCGAGGAGTTGGAGAAGGAGGCTGCGGAGCAGGAGCCCCCGGAAGCGAGAGACCAGAAACCAGAAGCGGAGGAGGAGCAGGAGGAATCCGAAGAGGCGGCTTGCGGCGGCAGGAAGCGGGTAGTACCGGGTATTGTGTACTTGGGCCACCTCCCGCCCCGCTTTCGGCCTCTGCACGTACGGAACCTTCTCAGCGCCTATGGCGAGGTCGGGCGCGTTTTTTTCCAGCCGGAGGGTAAGAGCGGAGGCCGTGGCTGTGCGGGCAGCAGGGTGGACTAGCCCGCGCGTCGCGTGGCTCGGGCTGTGCGCGTCCGAGGCGCTGTGGGGCACGGGACTCGAGGCCGGCGCCCGGGGAGACGAGTGGTGCGCAAACCTTTAAGGAGACGGGATTAGGTGTGCGTAGCGCCTTGCGCACAGATGGGTAGTTCTCGGGTTGTGAACTCTGGCTTCTGATGTCGACCCCGCGCAGCCCTCTTTCCTGAGCCAGCTTTACCAGTTTACTGAGTGAGTACATCCTGAATAAAAGTCTCAGAGGCTTTTTCACACACTGAACCCATCCCCTTTGTCATCGCGGCCCGGGTCTAGACTGTGTGGTCAGCTGACCCCAGCTCCCGCGCGGACACTAACCGAATCGGGATTGGGGGCGTGTGAGAGTTGTAAGTAGAATGTTCGGAGCGGATCTGATGCAGGAGTTGACGTTTGAGGAAAGGATTTAGACGTGGGGAAAGGGTGCACGGGGAATGGATGGAACTTGGAGTCCTTTTCCCGGGCAGAGGCCTGGAGGTGGGATCCTGGCCCGAGGGCGAGTGGGGGGTGAAGTTCCTTGGGAGCCACGTGGGCCCCTTAAACCTCTGCTGTGTCCTCGGCGCGCAGACGGGTTCGTGAGGCGCAAGAAGAAGGCGGCGGCAGCCTCGGCCACGGGAGGGAAAAAGCGGTCCAAGTACAGCAAGGACTACACCGAGGGCTGGGTGGAGTTTCGGGACAAGCGAGTGGCCAAGCGCGTGGCGGCCAGTCTGCACAACACGCCCATGGGAGCCCGACGGCGCAGCCCCTTCCGTTACGACCTGTGGAACCTCAAGGTAAGGGGCGGACTTGTCTGCCTTCCCAGCCCTAGCCGGGGCTGCTCCGTTACCTCCTGTTGGTCCCACCCGCTCTCCTCTCCTCTGCCTTCCTGCCACGCCTTACCCACGTCCTTTCTCGTTTTTGTTGTCGTTGTTGTTGTTCGCAGTACCTGCACCGTTTCACGTGGTCCCACCTCAGCGAACATCTTGCCTTTGAGCGCCAGGTACGCAGGCAGCGCCTGAGGGCCGAGGTTGCCCAGGCCAAGCGTGAGACTGACTTCTACCTTCGAAGTGTGGAACGGGGACAGCGCTTCCTTGCTGCTGATGGGGACTCCGCCCGCCCGAATGGCACCTGGGCCTTTGCCCAGCGTCCTACTGAGCAGGAGCTGAGAGCCCGGAAGGCAGCTCGGCCCGGGGGACGTGAACGGGCTCGCCTGGCTAATGTCCAGGACCAGGCTCGCTCCAACCGAGGGCTGCTTGCCAAGATCTTCGGAGCTCCACCACCTTCAGAGAGCGTGGAAGAACCCTCACTAGCCAGGGACTCATGAAGGGCAGAGGAGACCCCTTCTGTCTCATAGCCCTGATAATGTCTATTCAGGCAGACGTTTTATTATCTTTCTCAGACCAGGAGTCTCTGATGAGTGCTCAGACAGACCTTTTGTGGGCCTCTCCTCCCCGCTCCCACTCCTGTTGCCTGGCAAAGGCCCCTAATTCATACTAGCATGAGTGTGACTACTGCACATGCCTGTTTCATTTGATTCTTGGCCATCTGCCTCCTGCCCAGTGGGAGCCTCTAAAAATCCCACTTTCTGGCCTCAGGAAGAGCCTTTACCTCAAGCTAGAGTGGGAATGTGTAGTCCAGGCAACTTTTTTACCAACTGTAAGTGAAGGGTAGCGGCCACATCCTTTTTATTTAGAAAAGATTAACAGGGATGGGTTAATGGGGTGGGACTGGATGGGAGCCACCTTCCAAATGTATTTATAGAAAAGAAAAAAATGTATATATTTGTATACTTTTGTAGTTTATTGGTGTGTGTGTGGGGGTGCATTTTATAAGTTCTAACTTCTGTCTCCTCATGTCCCATTAATGTCATCTCCTGGTCTCAGAGCCACCTCTCCCTCCCTCTCCACCTTCAGTCTGAACTCTTTTCTGTCTATCAGATTAATTTCTTAGCCCACTTTATCAATGATCTAATTCCACATTTACCAAGTCACTACATGAGGACATAGTGATAGTGGGTAATAACACACGGCCCTTGGCATTAAGAGTTGTAGGCCACTAGAAAGGGACAGATATTCAAGAAATAATGTCCAGAGGTACTGCAGGCATCATGTAGAAATATATAAGGGCTAGAGGAGGAGCCATGGGAGGGCTTGGTTTATCTGGGAAGGTAAGCAGTGCTTAATATGGAGCTGATCCCTCATCACGCTCTTCAGAGAGGGGTCAGTTTTCACCAAGTTTTCCATATCGCTCCTGAAAAGTGAACAGAAATCTGAATGAGCCTGATGTACTCCTGTTGTTGGAAACAAAGCTCCATGGATGGAGCGTTGGGTTCAAACCACTGTAAAGGGAGACAAAGCCTAGGAGGTAGGCACGGTGCCCTTCGGGTGGTCTTCTACGAATTAGGGCTTAGACAAGGGGGAGGGCTCACAACACTAAAGCAGCTTTAGAAGCCGCACAGAATCCATGGCAGCCACTAAGAGAAACGGAAAACTGAAGTGTTAAGAAACCTGGACGCAGCCTCATAGAACTTGAAACCGGTCAGGGGCGCCTGGCTGCCTCGGTCCATGGAGTGAGCGACTCCCGATCTGGAGTTGGGTGTAGAGATCACTGAAAAAGTCTTAAAAAATACTAGTCACTATCCAGTCTGTTAAACCTACTTGAAATAGTAGAGTGACTATAATAATAATGGATTTTGCTTGTGCAATTTAATTCCCTGCCCGCCCCCCCACCCCCCAACGCCGCTCCTCAATATAATTACTCGTGTTTGGGTGAGGCAGATTCATCCACTTCTTTGGCTCTAAAATGATAAAATCTTAGTCCTGTTACGATTTTTATTCGATAGGTGCACTTTATGTGGGAGAATAAAAATGACCTTACGTTCAAAATGATGTCTGTTGGGTGTCACATTTCCCACGTCCCTAACCCTCTCATACCCGTCTGATAAAAACATCTGTGTAACGTTACACCCTCAGGCTTGGGAACTTGATACCCTTGTTTCTGTGTTCATTTCTCCTGAGTTTGTTTCCTGTGGGTCGTTTCCCCAGGTCATGATGTCTTCCCAAGTGAGCGAGAAAAATTCCGTGTCAGAATCTGACAAGCTGTCATATTCACTTATTCAGGATTCCCAGTGCCACTGTCACCTTTGGTAGATAAAGAGAATATCGAGAGTGAGAAATCTTTTCCCCTTAGGTTGCTAACAATTTAGGAAGCAAAACATGGGGCTTCGGAATTTTTTGAATGAAATAAACTTCTCAGGCTGGGTGGCGTCAGGTGTCAGTATATTCAAGGTCAGCATCCAAGGGTCCGGTACAGTAGTTCGCACAGAGAGTTTACCCGCAGCCTGGAAAACTGGGTAAATCACAGGCGGAGCAAGAAATGAAGATAAGAATGGGTGGAAGACAATGAGTTTCTGGGGAACCGTCAGCTTGATTCCCTGCAGACCAAGCCCTTTGAGGGCAGGAATATACCTTCTTTTACACTTAAAATTTTATTTTCTGGATGTTGCCACCAGTAACCCTGACATGGGTCAATTTTAGTTGTACAAATGCAGCAATTGTGTACGTTCCCAGAAGTGGATTTGCAGAGTAATTTCGGTAGATCTTGTCAAAATGCCTTTTATGGAAAGTGTCAGGGACCCTTTGGGGGATTATAAGCGAGGAAAGTCAGATGATTTCGATGGAAGCTTGCACTCTGCCTCCGCGGCCCATTCCCGACGTCCAGAGCCCGAGGACCTGACTCGGGGACAGCCTGGGCCAGCTGGGTGTGGACAGCCGGGGTTCACGCCGCCGGATGGACCAACGCAGCTGAGGGAGAAGGAATCTGGAAACAAATTCAGTAGAATTAGGGACAAAATGACGGATTGCGCCCACGTCTGGCTGCATCCTGAAGGCTTTCAAGCAAATAATCCGTGAACACGGGAACACTCCCTCTGTCGCAAGACGCCCTGGGGAGCTACGTTAGCTCGGTTTTCATTTTATTTGTGAGAATGTTCACAAACGGATTTTGTACGACAAAATTTCCGAAAGCCGGAGTTCTTAAAGGGAAAGTGCCGTCCCTGGGTGGGCTCGAACCACCAACCTTTCGGTTAACAGCCGAACGCGCTAACCGATTGCGCCACAGAGACGGGGACGCGAGGAGCTCTCTTGTCAAACATGATCATGTCATTTCCCCAGTCCAGACCGTGGGATATACTCAAGAAACGAACCTTTTGCCGGGCATGTATATTGAAGAAATGTTCCCTCGCTTCCTGGTTTCTGTTGTTCCTATGTTTTGAAAACAAATTTTGACAATACAGATATTATTCTTAGAGAGGAACCTCACAGTGTTGACTGGGTGGGGAGCTGGGCGCGGGACTGCTGTTTACCCCGAGAAAGTGTGATTATAATAAAATAATAAATAAATAATAATAATAATAATAATAATAATAATAGTGAAGGACATCTGGACCGAATTTCTTTTCAGGTCGATAAGAGAGCTTTTGCTAACACTCCGGTTGATAGGGAAGCCCCTGGAAGGGTTCTGTACAGGTGAAGATACCTTCAATGGGAAAGATTCCAGTAAGAGAAACGCAGAAAGGAAAACCATTTAGGGGACAGTCTGAAGGCTCATCAGTGGATCCTTAAATGATCAGGTAAAAGTGTACTTGCCCGGAAATAGGATATTCTCACGTACCAAAGCAGCAGCGCAGAGATCCCTTGCTAACCGCAAAGAGAAAAGTCTTTACAAAATGACCTCTGTCTCCACTTACACCAGGGATCAAATTGAGCATCATTAACAATGGGGCGGATTAACATCGGCACTTCCTGGTGAAGTCACACGGGCACGCCCACATGATATTCTGGCCAAAAAGGATTAACTTGGATGTCATTTGATAACTTCTGGCCTCCTTGCTCCATTTAGCTATTGCCGTGGAACAAGATGCTGAAAAATGTTAGTGACTGTTTCAATCATGGCTCTTCCAGAGAAGCAGAACATATGTAATATCTCTTGTCTCTCTCATCTCTCTATCTCAGTTCCTTTCTCTAGAGATCTCCCCCTATTCTAGATCCATCCACCAGTCCTCAATCAATCCATCATCTATCTATCTCATCCCTTACCTATCTGATGGGCTGATGTGTATAGAGCTGGCCAGCAAGCTAGAACTCAGACAGGATTTCTGTGTCACAGTCTTGAGACAGAATTTCTTCTTCAGGGGAAAAAAAAAAAAAAAAAAAAAAAAAAAAAAAAAAAAAAAAAAAAAAAAGGAACGAAACATGAAGAATTTAAAATGTTGGTTGAGTAAAATAAGATCTCGGAGATTCCAAAGTCAAAACATCCACTTAAGGGTCCTCAGCACAGACTTGAGTATTTTGGGATACAGCGTACATGGAAAGGTCTGGAAGGCTGGAAATTAGTGCGAAATAGACAGTAATATGTCCCTGGAAAGAGCCCCAGCTGGGAAAACGCGATCAGAAAAATTAAGGTGTGATGTAATTTTCTTTGCTTGGAGAGTAATAATAAGTAGCCAAAGCGTGATACAAAGTGCGACAAACGGGAGGAATTGTGTGCAGAGGGGGATGGGGTATGTGAGAACTCTATTTCTTGTGGGGTTTTTCCCTGTATTTCTGATTATTCTTTTTTTTTTTTATTAAAAAAACTTTTTAAATGTTTATTTTTGAGAGACAGAGACAGAACATGAATGGGGAGAGGCAGAGAAAGGGAGACACAGAGTCCGAAGCAGGGTCCAGGCGGTGAGAGCCTGACGCAGGCCTCGAACTCACAAACCTGTGAGATCATGACCTGAGCTGAAGTCAGACGCTTAACTGACTGAACCACCCAGGTGCCCCAGTGATGATTTTTTCTACAAATCTAAAACTGCTTTAAATAATAGTCTATTAAGTTAAATCAGTCAATCAGTCAATCAATCATATGAAAAAGGAGGGGTGTTACTGACCAGACTCAAAACACGATCAAAGGGAAGTTTCTCGAGCACTGTTACCTGTACCTGAATTCAAATTAGGATCCCGGAAATGGGCCTTTGGTCTTACGGTGAGGACACAGTGATCACACCTGGAATTCTCCCAAAATGCCCTTTGCTCTGCAAAGTATAATTCAATGTGACAGCAGCCGTAGTCTACCTTTTCATTCAATGACGCATCTTTAATACCTCCCTCCTGCTTTATTGGGTCATAGCAATCAATCCGCTACGTTCCATAGAGGGACATAACAAGATGAAACAAATCATGTTTGCTGTTCTGTTATTCCTCATAGATTTCACTTCGGAGTTAATACATTTAGTAGACTGTTCAGTTTGGGAGACTTGTTTCAGAATGTACCGGAAGGTAC